GGGGGCTTTGCTAGTGAGCTTGATATTGCGCTTCTCTTCCCTTTTGTCAGGCTGAAGAACTTGGACTGAGACGAGAAGGTTAGTCTTTAGGCGATTCTGTTTAGTACAAGCATTAGTTCGTAGCCATTTTATGTCCAGTTACTTTAAAATGTGTCGAGAATTATGATTATTTGATGGTTGATTAATCGCTTTTTTGCTGTGTATTCATAGATGGAAAACTGGATCACGGCCAAGGTCGTTCTAAGGCTGGAGGCATAACAATAAATGGACCGTAAGTGCATCATTCATTCATCCGTGAATATCTCGAATTAAATATTACCTGGAAATATTTCAGCCCCCCCAAGCATGCCTCCACACTTCTTTCCTTCATATGTTCAGTGACATAAGCATGTTGCCTATGCCTGAACAAAAAGGAGTTGGGGGCACACCGCACACGTGGAAGTAGACTTGACAAAAACTGGTGTGACCTGTTTTGACCCGACCCGTGCCGAAAAATATTAGGTTTTAAACAAAGGTTTTGTTCACCAATCTCAAAGATGATTGAATCCGTAATGACGTGTTAAAATAGGTCAAATTCAACCGAAACTAACTAAAGGAATTTTTTTTTAAATCACGTACTTTAGTATAAAATATATAGCGATAAAAATCAATGTATTATTATTTTTGTTTTTTAATCTATTTTATACTATACAACTCTATTGACACTACATAAATTTCAAATAGAATGCTATCAAGTAAAATCCACCGTAGAATTGTAAGATATTAACATGTAGATCATACTAAAAAAATCACAACATTTGGAAATCGTTTCGTGCTTCAGTTAATAACTTCTGTTTTTACATAGCTAAGAATCATTGATTTTAAAAGTTATTAACCAAAGCACTATGTGAATCTTTTCAAAGATGATCTACCTATTTAAAATTTTTAAAATCAAACGCTCATGGTACGTTAGGTCGACCCGAAACGGATTACACTAAGTCATGAACACAAATTTCCCAACCAGAATTAATCCTAACCTGAAGCAGCTCGAACTCGAAAAATCCAAACCCGAACCTAAACACTTAGTCACAATTTAACTTATTTCTTTTTTCGTATTGGGTTTTCACTTCTTTTTTTTGCCTGCCTTTTGCATTTCCCTTTGGCGATTTATATGCGCCCAGGCGGAAACCGAAAAAAGGAAAAACAGTGCCAAGAGATGTAAAAAAAGTCAGGAGGGGTTCTGACGACTTGGATGTTGATGAAGAAGAAGAAGAAGATAATCCACATATGATGAGTTTCAGATAAACTAGTTCCCCATTTGAAACTCTGACAGGCAATTTTAACTTTTCTGTTGTACCTTATTGTACTATATCAT